AAAATATCACATAGATTTAGCCAAGGATCGAATCGATTAATCCCTTTTGTTCTTCTTATTGGATTGCTTGCCGCAACAGCGTCGTATGAGTGCAATCCAACTGCCAACCACCATGGCCAGAATGAGGCCAACGACAGCATAACAGTCCAGCGAGTAGTACACAAAGCGGGGCAGCTCGACGGCGCTGGATTTCAATAGAGGATCACCGCCAGTGTGAGCCACATGCTCCACCCACCAAATGGCCAGCTGCAGTGCCTGTTGCGGTCTATACTTGAACGAGTGCGAGACGAGCTTGGCGGCATCCACGTGTCTGCAAGCAAGGGAGGAACATATGAATGATAGGGTGAACTCAGGGTGATCTCAAGGCATCTCAACTCACTTCTTATCCAGCGCTCGCTTCAGAGCTCGCATAACCGTATTCTCGCCAATGTCCTCGTAGTGCAGCAGCACGCCCATGTCACGCTGCACCAGGGCCGCGGCATTCAGGAACTGATCTCCGTACATGGGCGTGGCCACGACGGGCACGCCACAGTAGGCCGCTTCGGAGCTGCCCATGAGGCCGGCATGCGTCATGAAGACCTTCACATTGGGATGGCAGAGGATGTCGCGCTGTGGCAGCCATTTCATGATGTGCAGATTGGGCGGCTTATTCTCGAGCGTCTCGTTCTCCCACTTCCAGATGACCTGCTGCTTGAGACGGGCCACGGCACGCACAATGCCGTCGCGCTTCTCCGGCGACAACGAATTGGCGCGTATCATGGAGCCCCAACTGATGAGTATCACCCCGTGCTCGGCATTGTCCAGCAGGCGCTGCAGATCAGCGCTCAACGGATTTGTTTTCTGGATGTGAATGCCGCCCAGCTCGATGACGTTGGGCGGCAGCGGCTTGGGACCGCTCAGCGAGTAGTGTGTGTTCACAAACAAAACGGAGGTGTTCTTCGCCAGCTCACCCACCGAGGGCATATCGTGGCCAAACTTGTACTGAACCATGGCATCCGCAGCGGGCACCGACAGGAGCCTAAGGATGTAAGGGAAACAGAGTAATGAGATTTGCTGGCGACACTTGGCAATGGGGCCACCTACTTGTACATCCAGTTGAGCGCATGGAAGCTAAACCAGTTGGCCAATCGTCCGCCAAAGTTCATGTCCTGCGATTGACCCAAAAATAGAACCGGTATATGCGATGGGATTATCGGAGCGCCCATGCGCTCGAAATGCCACGGCATCAGGGAGCAACTGCTTAGGGCAATAACTGGTGCTTGCAGCTGATGTGCCACGCCCATCATGCAATCTGTGTTGAACTGCTCCAAAATGATGACGTCGTAGTAGCCAGCCTTGCGCTTCATGAC